AGAACAAATGAAAGAGTCTGACAGCTTCACACACAGAAACGCTCACCCTCCACGCGCCTGTGTGTGTGTGTGTGTGGGGGCGGGTTGGAGGCCTGTCGCCGTAGAGGGGGCCTGTTGCCATGGTAATACGGGCTGCTGGGTGCTGATTGGTATTCGGAGGTGCTTCTCAGGGTTTGTGGGCGGGGCGTCATGGAGTTGGAGGCGGAGTCCATGAAGCGCTGCTCCTTCAGTAACCCGTTCTCCTCTGGAGGATGAGTCTCGGCTGCACACACACACACACACACACACACACACACACACACACACACACACACACACACGCACGCACACACGCACACACACACGCACACCTCATAAATCAATAGAAATTCATTTTTCAACAAACTATTGAATACAGAGCTATCACCAAATTAAAATTGCAATCAATCAACTTTATGCAGTGTTGATGGTGATTAATCTTCATTTTGAATTTGTCCGCCTTTCGAAGGTTTTAGAGACACTATCTATATTATGATTGTTGTTGATTGGAGGATCGAGAGTGAGGTGACGAGAGAAAGGGGAAAAGAGGTGAAATTACTGAATACCTCAAACACTCCACACCCCCAAAGCACATATTACACATTAGAAGGTCTTTCTTTACCTGTTTTTTACTCTGTTTTTTTTTTGTCAATGTGTTTTTTGTAAAATTTCTGTATGTATTCCTGCAATTTTGTTTTTGTTAGTGTGTGTGTGTGTGAAGTGCTGTTCCTTCTGAGGGGTGTGTGTGTGTGTGTGTGTGAAGTTCTGTACCTTCTGAGGGGTGTGTGTGTGTGTGTGTGTGTGTGTGTGAAGTGCTGTACCTTCTGAGGGGTGTGTGTGTGTGTGTGTGAAGTGCTGTTCCTTCTTAGGGGTGTGTGTGTGTGTGTGTGAAGTTCTGTACCTTCTGAGGGGTGTGTGTGTGTGTGTGTGTGTGTGTGTGTGTGTGTGTGTGTGTGTGTGAAGTGCTGTACCTTCTGAGGGGTGTGTGTGTGTGTGTGTGTGTGTGTGTGCGTGTGTGTGTGTGTGTGTGTGTGTGTGTGTGTGTGTGTGTGTGTGTGTGAAGTGCTGTACCTTCTGAGGGGTGTGTGTGAAAAGCTGTACCTTCTGAGGGGTGTGTGTGTGTGTGTGTGTGTGTGTGTGCGTGTGTGTGCGTGTGTGTGTGTGTGTGTGTGTGTGTGTGTGTGTGAAGTGCTGTACCTTCTGAGGGGTGTGTGTGTGTGTGTGAAGTGCTGTACCTTCTGAGGGGTGTGTGTGTGTGTGAAGTGCTGTACCTTCTGAGGGGTGTGTGTGTGTGTGTGTGTGTGTGTGAAGTGCTGTACCTTCTGAGGGGTGTGTGTGTGTGTGTGTGTGTGTGTAGTGCTGTACCTTCTGAGGGGTGTGTGTGAAAAGCTGTACCTTCTGAGGGGTGTGTGTGTGTGTGTGTGTGTGTGTGTGTGTGTGTGTGTGTGAAGTGCTGTACCTTCTGAGGGGTGTGTGTGTGTGTGAAGTGCTGTACCTTCTGAGGGGTGTGTGTGTGTGTGTGAAGTGCTGTACCTTCTGAGGGGTGTGTGTGTGTGTGAAGTGCTGTACCTTCTGAGGGGTGTGTGTGTGTGTGAAGTGCTGTACCTTCTGAGGGGTGTGTGTGTGTGTGTGAAGTGCTGTACCTTCTGAGGGGTGTGTGTGTGTGTGTGTGTGTGTGTGTGTGAAGTGCTGTACCTTCTGAGGGGTGTGTGTCTGTGTGGAGGAGTTTCGGGGAGAGAGGAGCGCAGTACGGTGGAGACTCTCTGGAGATCCTCTTCACTGCCCTGATCAGAGACTGCCCGTCCGACAGAAGCTCCTCCTTCACTGCACACACACACACACACACACATCACAACTCAGAGCTGCACAACATATCACAATTCAGAGCTGCACACACAACATGACCATTTACCTGCACACACATATCACAACTGAGCACTGCACACACACACACACACACGACCATTGAACTGCACACACACACACACACACACACACACACACACACACACACACACACACACACACACACACACACACACACACACACACACACACATCACAACTGAGCACTGCACACACACACACACACACACACACACACATCACAACTGAGCACTGCACACACACACACACGACAATTGAACTGCACACACACACACACACACGACCATTGAACTGCACACACACACAAAATGAAATTTCAGCACTGCATCGAAACCAAGACAAAATGGTTTCGAAGCAGCATTTTAGTATTGTATGCCATAATATGTATTAATATTTTAAATGAGCTTTTATTTATTTAATTTTTTTCATTGTAATCTCAGTTTAAGTTTTAGTAATTTTATTTTGTGCTTTTGTCATTTTTATTAGTTTTTAATATTATGTATATACTATTCTATTATTAATTGTTAATATTTAAAACTAATTTACAATTGAACTATTTTAACTTTTATTTTATACATTTAGTTTATTTTGATGTAATTTATATGAATTTATATTTTCAGTTTTCATTTTAATTTTTATAATTTTGTTATGTGCTTTTGTCATTTTTATTAGTTTTTAGTATTATTCATATACTATTCCAATATTTGTTATTTTAAATAAGCTTTTATTTTTATATTTTCACTTTTAATGTTAGTAACTTTGTTACGTGCTCATCATTATTATTCGCTTTTTAATGTCTGATAAATCTCTAATATTTTTTCCATCCAATATTTATATTTTATAAAAAAATAAATATTTTAGTAGTTTTAGTTTTAGTTAACAATGACAACAACACTGATTGTCAGACGCTCTTGAAATAATTTTAGGCTCTAAAACCCCCATAAAAGTATCAGCTCGACACACACGGCCACAACCCACACCGACTGTAAAGAGCAGCTCGCACATTCTCCGAACATCTCCTTTAGTATTTGATGGAAGACTTTAAATCAAACCGGTTTGGAGCAACTTGACCGTGAGTAAATGAAGAGTTTATTTGGGAGAATGATTCCTTTAAAGGTGCAGTCTGTAAGAATGACAGCTAGTGGTAGAAATAGGTACTGCAGTCCAAATTAAAAATATATGAGATCGTGGTTTCAGACTCGACGCTCACACGGGTTGCCAGTTTGAGATTTGCCAAATGACCGTTCGCAAAGACCCGCCCCCTTTAGTTACTGTTGCTATGTCCGACAAGCCACGCCTCTCTCACACACACCATGTTCTCACGCAGTGAAACACACATCGCGGAGTGAAGAGGACACTGACAACACACTCAGACAGGACAGACCAGCTTACTTTTGATATGAAACAAAGTCTCAACTTTCAAATTTGGTAATTTTTTAAAGAAATTTAAACAATAAACAGCGTTTTGTGTCTCTTTAATGTGTCTGACAGATCGCTCAGTTAAAGTCGCTCGTGATCCGATCATCTCTTCCTCCTAGTTCATTTATAGCATCAAATAAACATGAATGAACATCAGAAGGAATGTTGTTTTAGCTGCGGAAAGACGTCAGTACACCGTTTTTCAAGTTCAATCCTCCAACGTTAATCTACTAACTCTCCTGACTGCTCTGTCGGACAAAAATGGCGGATTATGATTGGTCAAATCGCCTGTCAATCAAACTCCCTGCGAAGGGTGTAGAAGTGTTTTTCAGAGAAACGAGTGTGTGAACTCAGCATGTTTCAGCAAACATATTATGGTATTTTTATGCTTTATGGAGTGTAAAAGTTACATACAGCACCTTGAGTGCCGGATCATGTGATCAGACAAGGATGCAGAGGTGATGTACCTGATTTGGCGCGCTCATAGTTGTGGTGTGGACTGAACGGTTGACTGCTGAACAGATTATCACACTGCAGGTGTCGACACACCAGTTCCAGGAAGCGTAATACACACCCGGCGCTGGACGCTGACGGCAGCTTCACCAACCGCGTCCCACCATCTGTCCGGACTAGACACACACACACACACAACACACACACACACACACACACACACACACAACAGTACGTCATGACTGGGAGTGCTTTAAAATCAGAAAGAAAGCAATTCAAAAACAAGAAAGCTAAATTGTTAATGCAGCCAACCTTAAAGATAAGCACACTTTAGACACCGAGTTTATTGTGAGTTAATTACGTTTTTCCCGTTTTAATTTTTATGGATTCCGTTTTTTTTATTTAGTTTTTTATGGTTATATTAAACTTTAATATTCAAAAAGCATGTGTAATTAATTGAAATCATGAAAATTGTTCAATTTAGCAGCAATTTATTAAGTTTAACAAAAATTACATTCTTAATGTTTTTTTTTTCAAATTCCTTTTTTTAACCCAGTTCTGTGATTTGCGTTTTATTTTGTCTATATCTTATTTTAATGGTTTAATCAAAAACATATCTAATACATTTAATTCATAATTTTTTTTTTTTTTATTAATTTAATAATAAGGGCCTATGAATTATTATTATTTATTTTTCTATTCTTTGTTGTGTATTTAAACTTTTCTGGTAATCAAACGAAGGCATAAAACAGTTTATCTTTTAATTTAAATGAAAATTAAACAAGCCCTTTAATTTTTGGGCAAACAAGTGCTACACAACAGAGGTTTACTGTTAAAATTATAACATGGAAGACAATTTGTTTTAATAATAATTGTATTATTATTATTATTAGTAGTAGTAGTAGTAGTACATTATCATAGTAAGAGTATTATACTACATATATTTCTATTGCAGTTTCTTTAAGTTAAAGCAGACTTTTATTCTGACGGGTTGCCGTGTAGACCTTCTTCTGTGATGATGTGATGGTTTCTCTCAAATTAAATGTTGTCAAAGTGAGAATATTAAACTAATACAAAAGGACTATTTAAATATCCTGCATGTTCTGCGTGTCTCTGTCAATTCATATCACGGCCATCCGGCCGGCGTAAACTCGTGTTTTTCAAATTCAAATTCAAAAAACTTTATTATCTATCAACCAGTGATAGAAATTTGTCTTTGGTTAAAAAGGCCCACATATACACAGTACAAACACACGAACCTCACAAAACACAATTAATACAAAGAAAAAAGTAGGACTACCTTACAAATATGTAAATAAATTAGGCTTAAACCCAATATACTAATACAACTTTTTCCTTGATGCATCTTGATTTGTGCACATCACACATGCTGCATGCTTATCGTTTCACTGACATTGACAAGATGAGCCCCTCAGGTATCGAAATTTGGTACCGAACGACAAGACATTTTTTGATATTCGATGATAGTCAGTGCCTAAAAAGTATCGAACTCGATACCCAGCTCTATTCTTTAGTGTGTAATGCTGCTGTTTGAGCATGAACAAGTCCATCCAGTCGGAGTTATTCTCTATATCTGTAGCCGCGTTTCCATTACCCTTCAAATTGCGCAAATTGAAATTGAAAATTGAAAATTCGCCCAATGGAAACACCTCAATTTCACAAAAAACTCCCATATATCGCAAAAAAGTTTTTACGCTCACATTAGGTGCTTTTTCAGGCAATTCGAAAAAGGAATATTTCGCAAAACTGCAATGGAAACGGTTATTTCTCATTTACAGTCACCTGACATAGATGACGCGCGTGTGTTTGGACAGAAGACGAGACAGAGTTCTTTATTAAACTCATAAAACACAAAAGTATTACTGGAATTCTGGATTCTAAACAACAAAGAAAAGCCACAATTGATGAAGAGCTTGAAGCAGAAATGAGGGAGAATCACCCAGAAACTCCTCATATGAGCCGCTCTCAGTGTAAGAGGATTTCCTTGCCATTAATGCTTGGATACACACATACGTCTCCTTCCAATAATAATAATGTCTAGTGCGGTGGCTGGGATATACATAAACCTACCAACATCCGTTGCCATGATTGTTGGAATGACTTATCGCGAGAAGTTTTAGTCGCATAACATCGGTTAATGGAAACGCGGTCATTTCGCAATAGTTTTTTATCGACATTTAGGGGCTATTTACACGACACCGTTTTCAAATAAAAACACGACATTATACACGACAACGGCGTTTTGGTTTGCCCGAAAACGCAAAGTTTTGAAAACGGGTTTCAAAGTGCAAGTTTTTGAAAACGGTCCCGTGTAAACAACAAAACCGTGAATCTCTGAAGACGATGACGTCATGCACATGTTCGGTCTATAGTGTTTCATCGCCATCTACTGGCCAGGCAGCAGAGCACAGGGTTTTTAGTCGTTTTTGCGGATCCGTGTGAATGGGGATCGTTTTGACAACGGTGTCGTCTGTACGCGAAAACTTCTCCGTTTTAAGCATAACGTTGTGGTGTTAAACGTACCATAAGAAAATAACGCAATACTTTTGCGCAAATATGTAATAGAAACGCGGCTATTGTTACTGTTTCTGAACTCTGAAGACTATACCTCTGACCACCTCTCCTCCGCCCCCTTGGCTCTGAAGGCATCCCAGAAGCACTTTGGGTTGGTACGCACAATCCAGACAGGCCTGAACTGTCTTCTGCAGAACCAGATTCACCGCCTCGGGCCCGAAGTGATCCGGCAGTCTCTGAACCTGCTTACGGTCCAGATGCGGCCCGCAGTTCCCGTGCTTCTTCACGTACACACACACTGATGGACACGGACAGGACATTAACCTCATCATCCACATTGTTGACACCATATGGTTAATCTGGTTAAAACTAGGGGTGTAACAATATATCGTGTCACAAAATATCGCAATACAAAAATGCATCAATATGCATCGTGGATAGTGACAATATGTATCGTGGATAGTTAAAAATTACTGATGTGAGTTTTAGTGTCAGTCCTACATTAAACTACTATATATGATCTTCAATATAATGTATAAATGATCATATGGTCTGTTAATAGTGGTTACAGTCTGATTACTGCAGTTACTGTATATAGTCATGGTTATATAGGCTAATCTGATTATAGTGGATATATAGTCAGTTAGCCTAGGTAATATAATCTGATCATTGTGGGTATATAGTCTGACTATTGTGGCTATGTAGTCTGATTACTGTAGTTATTTAGTCTGATCACAGTGGATATATAGCCTGATTATTGAGGTTATCTAGTCTGATCATAGTGCTTATTATAGTCTGATTGTTATGGTTGTATGGTCTGACAATTGTGGTCACTAATTACTGCAGTTCCAGTATATAATCTATTTACAATATGGTTATGTAGTCTGATTACTGTAGTTATATAGTCTGATCACAGTGGATATATAGTTTGATTATTATGGTTGTATGGTCTGATAATTAAAATGGTTACAGTCTGATTACTGCAGTTACTGTATATGGCCTACTTATTATGGTTATAATCTGATTATTATGGTCATATGTTCTGCTCACTGTGGTTTTGTAGTCTGATTACTTTAGTTACATAGTCTATTTAGTATAATCCGATCATCGTGGTTATGTAGTATAAATATTGTAGTTATATAGTTTGATTATTGTGGATATGTAATCTAAATATACAGATCAGACGTCAGATGTTCTTCTGTGTGGCAGCATACACTTTAGCTATATAGTCTATTTAGTATAATCCGATCATTGTGGCTATGTAGTATAATTATTGTAGTTATATAGTTTGATTATTGTGGATATGTAATCTAAATATACAGATCCGACGTCAGATGCTCCTCTGTGTGGCAGCATACACTTTAGCTATATAATCTATTTAGTATAATCTGATCATCGTGGCTATGTATTATAATTATTGTAGTTATATAGTTTGATTATTGTGGATATGTAATCTAAACAGATCAGACGTCAGATTTTCTTCTGTGTGGCAGCATATACTTTAGCTATATATAGTCTATTTAGTATAATCTGATCATCGTGGCTATGTATTATAATTATATAGTTGGATTATTGTGGATATGTAATCTAAATATACAGATCAGACGTCAGATGTTCTTCTGTGTGGCAGCATAAACTTTAGCTATATAGTCTATTTAGTATAATCTGATCATCGTGGCGATGTATTATAATTATTGTAGTTATATAGTTAGATTATTGTGGATATGTAATCTAAATATACAGATCAGACGTCAGATGTTCCTCTGTGTGGCAGCATATACTTTAGTTATATAATCTTTAGTATAATCCGATCATCGTGGCTATGTATTATAATTATTGTAGTTATATAGTTAGATTATTGTGGATATGTAATCTAATTATACAGATCAGACGTCAGATGTTCCTCTGTGTGGCAGCATATACTTTAGTTATATAATCTTTAGTATAATCCGATCATCGTGGCTATGTATTATAATTATTGTAGTTATATAGTTTGATTATTGTGGATATGTAATCTAAATATACAGATCAGACGTCAGATGTTCTTCTGTGTGGCAGCATATACTTTAGTTATAGTCTATTTAGTATAATCTGATCATCGTGGCTATGTAGTATAATTATTGTAGTTATATAGTTGGATTATTGTGGATATGTAATCTAAATATACAGATCAGACGTCAGATGTTCTTCTGTGGGGCAGCATATACTTTAGTTATAGTCTATTTAGTATAATCTGATCATCGTGGCTATGTAGTATAATTACTGTAGTTATACAGTTGGATTATTGTGGATATGTAATCTAAATATACAGAGCAGACGTCAGATGTTTCTCTGTGTGACAGCATATACTTTAGTTATATAGTCTATTTAGTATAATCCGATCATCGTGGCTATGTAGTATAATTATTGTAGTTATATACTTTGATTGTTGTGGATATGTAATCTAATTATACAGATCAGACGTCAGATGTTTCTCTGTGTGGCAGCATACACTTTAGTTATATAATCTTTAGTATAATCTGATCATCGTGGCCATGTAGTATAATTATTGCAGTTATATAGTTAGATTATTGTGGATATGTAATCTAATTATACAGATCAGACGTCAGATGTTCCTCTGTGTGGCAGCATATACTTTAGTTATATAGTCTATTTAATATAATCCGATCATCGTGGCTATGTAGTATACTTATTGTAGTTATATCCTACTTTGATTGTTGTGGATATGTAATCTAATTATACAGATCAGACGTCAGATGTTCCTCTGTGTGGCAGCATATACTTTAGTTATATAGTCTATTTAGTATAATCCGATCATTGTGGCTATGTAGTATAATTATTGTAGTTATATACTTTGATTGTTGTGGATATGTAATCAAATTATACAGATCAGACGTCAGATGTTCCTCTGTGTGACAGCATATACTTAAGTTATATAATCTTTAGTATAATCTGATCATCATGGCTATGTAGTATAATTATTGTAGTTATATAGTTAGATTATTGTGGATATGTAATCTAATTATACAGATCAGACGTCAGATGTTCCTCTGTGTGGCAGCATATACTTTAGTTATATAGTCTATTTAGTATAATCTGATCATCGTGGCTATGTAGTATAATTATTGTAGTTATATAGTTAGATTATTGTGGATATGTAATCTAATTATACAGATCAGACGTCAGATCTTCCTCTGTGTGGCAGCATATACTTTAGTTATATAGTCTATTTAATATAATCCAATCATCGTGGCTATGTAGTATAATTATTGTAGTTATATACTTTGATTGTTGTGGATATGTAATCTAATTATACAGATCAGACGTCAGATGTTTCTCTGTGTGGCAGCATACACTTTAGTTATATAATCTTTAGTATAATCTGATCATCGTGGCCATGTAGTATAATTATTGCAGTTATATAGTTAGATTATTGTGGATATGTAATCTAATTATACAGATCAGACGTCAGATGTTCCTCTGTGTGGCAGCATATACTTTAGTTATATAGTCTATTTAATATAATCCGATCATCGTGGCTATGTAGTATACTTATTGTAGTTATATCCTACTTTGATTGTTGTGGATATGTAATCTAATTATACAGATCAGACGTCAGATGTTCCTCTGTGTGGCAGCATATACTTTAGTTATATAGTCTATTTAGTATAATCCGATCATTGTGGCTATGTAGTATAATTATTGTAGTTATATACTTTGATTGTTGTGGATATGTAATCAAATTATACAGATCAGACGTCAGATGTTCCTCTGTGTGACAGCATATACTTAAGTTATATAATCTTTAGTATAATCTGATCATCATGGCTATGTAGTATAATTATTGTAGTTATATAGTTAGATTATTGTGGATATGTAATCTAATTATACAGATCAGACGTCAGATGTTCCTCTGTGTGGCAGCATATACTTTAGTTATATAGTCTATTTAGTATAATCTGATCATCGTGGCTATGTAGTATAATTATTGTAGTTATATAGTTAGATTATTGTGGATATGTAATCTAATTATACAGATCAGACGTCAGATCTTCCTCTGTGTGGCAGCATATACTTTAGTTATATAGTCTATTTAATATAATCCAATCATCGTGGCTATGTAGTATAATTATTGTAGTTATATACTTTGATTGTTGTGGATATCTAATCTAATTATACAGATCAGACGTCAGATGTTCCTCTGTGTGACAGCATATACTTTAGTTATATAATCTTTAGTATAATCTGATCATCGTGGCTATGTAGTATAACTATTGTAGTTATATAGTTTGATTATTGTGGATATGTAATCTAAATATACAGATTAGACATCAGATGCTCCTCTCTGTGGCAGCATATACTTTAGTTATATAGTCTATTTAGTATAATCCGATCATCGTGGCTATGTAGTATACTTATTGTAGTTATATCCTACTTTGATTGTTGTGGATATGTAATCTAATTATACAGATCAGACGTCAGATGTTCCTCTGTGTGGCAGCATATACTTTAGTTATATAGTCTATTTAGTATAATCCGATCATTGTGGCTATGTAGTATAATTATTGTAGTTATATACTTTGATTGTTGTGGATATGTAATCTAATTATACAGATCAGACGTCAGATGTTCCTCTGTGTGACAGCATATACTTAAGTTATATAATCTTTAGTATAATCTGATCATCGTGGGTATGTAGTATAATTATTGTAGTTATATAGTTAGATTATTGTGGATATGTAATCTAATTATACAGATCAGACGTCAGATTTTCCTCTCTGTGGCAGCATATACTTTAGTTATATAGTCTATTTGGTATAATCTGATCATCGTGGCTATGTAGTATAATTATTGTAGTTATATAGTTAGATTATTGTGGATATGTAATCTAATTATACAGATCAGACGTCAGATGTTCCTCTGTGTGGCAGCATATACTTTAGTTATATAGTCTATTTAGTATAATCTGATCATCGTGGCTATGTAGTATAATTATTGTAGTTATATAGTTAGATTATTGTGGATATGTAATCTAATTATACAGATCAGACGTCAGATCTTCCTCTGTGTGGCAGCATATACTTTATTTATATAGTCTATTTAATATAATCCAATCATCGTGGCTATGTAGTATAATTATTGTAGTTATATACTTTGATTGTTGTGGATATGTAATCTAATTATACAGATCAGGCGTCAGATGTTCCTCTGTGTGGCAGCATACGGGATATTAGAAGTTGTATTTGATACCAGTAGACACCACAGATGACGGGGATCCCAGAGAAGAGAGTCCATCACTGGGCATGCGAGTCATGGGAACCCTGGAGTCTGAGCTGGCTGATATAGACATGGAGCTCTGAAGGAGTCTGGACTTCCTCTGAGAAACAGAAACACATGATAAACTTCAGTATTTCACAGAATGACACCCTCCACAACATAGCGTTGCAATGGATCGCAGTTGACCAGTACGGACCAGCTGCCCCACGGTTCGGCAGGCATGTGATTTGCAGATTAACTGCTAAATTTAACCATCATAGAGTGAAAGTTAATAATTTGGGCGTGTTTTGTATTGCCAATTTACACATTCACAAATTTTAAACGCGGAAGAAGAGGCCAAAATAGAGGTGCGTTTTAGATAGCACTCGAACACCGAATTGATTCCTCTTTCGCGTTTCCTTGCCCTTGAACAGACACATGAACACAACATGATGTCTAAATACCCGTCTCGGCAAGTATTCTATACTGTTTTCTACAGCACACACCTAATATTCCTACTGTTTCCTGTGACATTAATGTTAATAAAACAACAACATACAGCTTTAACAAAGATGAAACTATATTTAATTAGTACAGTGAACAAATAGTGCTATTTTAAATTTAGGCTTAATTATTAATTTCTGTACCTGAATACTAATGTTAGACTTTGTAACTTTGTTATTTAGTATTCATCTTTGCCTGTAATTTGTGTATTTGTTCTTATTTGATTACTGACTGGTCACTTGTTTTTAATAATGTTTGAACTTTATCAGGTACACTAGTAGTTTTTGGTGTTATTGAAGAACTTCAAGTGAGGTTTAAGTTATTTATAAAAAGCAAAGTTACCACCCCCCATATATATATAGTCTATATATATATATATTTTAGGGCTGTCAGTTAAACGCGTTATTAACGGCGTTAACGCAAACCCATTTTAATGGCGTCAATTTTTTTATCGCGCGATTAACGGTCTTTTTGGCCTAGCAAATGTTGTAGTTTTTTTCACATGCTTTTGCAACAGGACGCGTCATGCGCGGCGCTGCGCTATGAAACCCATTCATTTCAATGGCTTGCGCCGCGCAAGGACATTTTGTTGCTTCGTCGACCAAAGCGCAAGCGGATCTAGCTAGACCGGAAACAACAACAGGCATGACGCCGCACACACTTGTTTGGGCTTGCGAGCCGGCCAAATAGTTGGTTAACGTTACGTTTTGAGTGGATGACGAGCGCGAGACGTCGAAATGGATGCCAGTAAGATTCTGAATGGAAAGTTTACTTCTAAAAAGTTGCCAAATGGTTCCATTGACAAGACCAAAGTGATCTGTGTGTTTTGTCGTTGTGAACTGAGCTATCATCATCGCAGCACGTCCAGTCTGAAATACCACTTGATGGCCAAGCACACACACGCACACACACACACACACACACAGCTGATGCGAATTCTCCGCCCCCTCATCAAAATCAGGACCTCGTCAGTATTTCTTTCTCTCTTTTATTGATGGACAGTGTTACATTGTGTGAGAGATTATTTGCTCCAAGTGATAATGTTTTAGTGTGAAATTGAACACAGTATATGTCAATGTTGTTTTCAATAAAAAATATTTACACAAAGCAAGCCAATCCACTTTTCCATGTTGATAAGAGCATTAAAATGAGAAAAAAATAATGGGACAAAAAGAAATCAAGAGACATTTAGAATAGATAAAAATGTGCGATTAATTGCGAGTTAACTATGACATTAATGCGATTAATCGCGATTACATATTTTAATCGTTTGACAGCACTAATATATATATATATATTTTTTTTTTTTTGCTAATGCGAAAAATTATCCGATCTGTGGCTCAAAACAGGGCAAGCAAGAACTGATAAGAATGTAAAATGTGTACCTTGTAATGCAATGCAAGTTGCTTTGGATAAAAGCATCTGCCAAATGCATAAATGTAAAAATGCGAACCGTGAATTTTGTGATCCGTTGCACCACTACCACAACATTATCTCACGTGACAGTCCTTTCGTAAATACACACAGAACTCATTTAATGCTACCTTGCTGCCTGGTTTTGGTCCCCTCTTCTTGTACGGGCGCAGGGGATGCTGGGAGATGGGTGTGGTTTGGGGCGTGGCAGCTCCTGGGTCTTCTGTGTCCTGGGCCGAGGTGGAGGCGGCCAGAGCTTTCAGAAGCGCGATGGTCTCGCTTTTGGGCCGCCGGCCCCTGATGCCCTTCCTCACAGGGAGCTGAGGAAGAGGAGTCGGCAGCCGGTACGGAGACGGCATGGTGCGCCGGGGCGGTTTGGGGTTTGAGGACGAGGAAGGTGTAGGACCCGGTTTTGGAACGGTGACTGCAAAAAAAAATAAAGCAAGATTAAAGTAATACGAATAAAAGTGACATTAAACCAAAGTTATTATTAACAAAAACTAGGGATTTCCACAATGAATTTCCATAAAGTTTAAAGTAGATTATTTTTATGCGCAGTTTGTCAGTGCAGCGGCTAATCAGACACACACACACATCCATCTGAACACCAGAGGGCATCTCACACACACACACACACACACACACACACACACACACACACACACACACACACACACACACACACACACACACACACACACACACATCCATCTGAACACCAGAGGGCGTCTCACACACACACGCCAAATATGACCCGCGCAGAAGTACGATAACACACATCATTCCAGGAAATCCCCATCGCTGTATCTGAATAAACAGAAGATTGAAACGCTCTGATTGATTAAACACGACTAATAAACACACGACTGCCTTATTCTGTGTAAGAAGCGCGTCATCTCACAGGAGGAGGAGCTCAGCTGTCGTCATGAAGTGAGTTTGGAGTAAAAGCATTATTAAATGTTGTCTTTTGTTGGACAAGAGGTAAATCGTGCAGCCCTAGTTTAAAGAGAAATTTTGTAACCAACTAGTCTAAGAAACCCTCAGAAGACAGTAAAAAAAAACATCCATTTGAAGTAGCCTAATAAATCTATCAATCTAACAGTCAATTCTATCATTCGAAAGTTTAAACACTCAAAATTCATCAACCATTGTGAAATTGCACATCGAGTTAACCATGGAAACGAAACTTTAAAACCTTTTAGCAGGCACAATTTTTGGTGACGCTTCCTTTTACAGTACAGTACTTACATGTACTTACAGCGTACTTACCTAGAAAGTACTGGCTAATATAAGTTAAGTACATGGGTTTAGGGGTAGGTTCAGGGTTAGTACCTAGTTATTACCCAGTAATTGTAATTACTATAATAAGTACATAGTATGTACATGGGTAACAGGACTGTAAAAGGAAGCGTTACCCAATTTTTGTGGTATCAACTTCAGATTTGGAACTCAACTTAGACACAAGGCTTTTATTTTCTAGCAATTTTAGGACCAGATTTACTAACATCTTTCGCCAGCGCAAACCCTCTTTTGGCAGGATTTACTAAAGACTCATTGAAAAATGGGCACTGAAAAGGCGTGGACAGGGTTATTTTAGCGGCTGACTTTATTGCATATGCATTTGTAGGAGTTTCCCTTTCAGATTCAGTATTTATGGGAGGAGCGGCTTTAAATGAATCATGCAATGTGATTTACTAAGGAATCTAGTCAATTTACTGGTATTTGCGCCATTATTTACCGACCAAAAACAGCATGTCTTAAAACAGAGGCTAATTTGCGCTGCTCTTGGTGGATTGTGCTGGTCATTATGGAAATTAATCTGTTCTTTAATTTGCTCGTCGTCTGTAGATCACGCACAGAACTTTACACTCGGTAAAGCTGTGCTTTTATGGGATTGGGCTCTCATGCTAATTTGCCCTGTTGCCCTTAGTAAATCTGACCCATAGAGTCTAAATTATTTGGTAAATTATATATTTTGTATAAAAAAAGTTTTAGTTCAGTAAACTTGATTTGCGGTAAGCTTAAATGTCATTCGTTTTTTTACACTTTCAGTTCAGCTCTGCCTGTTGCATGAATCTCTCATAATGTAAGGCAGTTATATAACGAAGGTGTTATTGGATGTTTTATTGTGTATTACTACGAAACAGGGCTAATGCAACAAATTGTATCAAATAAATTGACTGTATGAGGGTAATTAATGACAAAATTTTCATTTTTGGTTGAACTATCCCTTCAAGTACGACCGTTCGTTCAAATAGCACAAAAAACAGGAGCCCTATTTCGTAGCTTATTCATGGAAAGTGCTGTTAACATTCATGACCTCACCAAACACACACACACACACACACACTTACATCTGGACACATACAGTCCTTTAACACACATACAGCAAAGGCCTTAAGCATGGCTGTGGATACGAGTGTGTTTACCCTAAATAACTCCAGTATAACTAAATTAGAGGGTGTGCGGGAGGAAAAGGCCCTTAGAGTTCGCCAGAGATCTGACACACTCGTACTGAAGCACATGGCAGAGATCACACAGACGAGCTTGAGTTTCAACATGACACACTGCCCTACAGTACAGCACAGCTAAAATACAGAGACAGCCATGCAATACTGTTGTAATCAAAATTATTCAACCCCCATTGCAAATCAGGTTTATTGGTAAAATTGACAGACCTTTTGCTGTTTGCAAACAAAATAATAATAATTCATTACATTTATATAGCGCTTTTCTCAGCACTCAAAGCGCTATATATAGAAGGGGGAATCTCCTCAACCACCAGCAATGTGCAGCTCCACCTGGATGATGCGACGGCAGCCATTTTGTGCCAGAACGCCCACCACACACCAGCTTACTGGTGGAGAGGAGACAGTGATGAAGCCATTCAGTGTATATATAGGGATGATGAGGAGGCCATGATGGACAGAGGACACTGGGCAAATTTGGCCAGGATGCCGGGGTTACACTAGCCTGGTCCCACCAGACTCTTGTACATTTCATTTGTACAGAGAGTCTGTCCTCGCTCCATTGACGCGCGTTAACTTCCTTGTAGGCGGGTCCTCTGTTGAAGTTTAAAACTATTGGATCTGCCCAGTGCCACTCTGGATCTGCCATAACCAATCGCTGATGTCTGGTCGTGACGTATGACGACTCAAACTAGCGCAGAACATCAACGTCATCGTTCTCAGCCACTCCCTCTGTTCGCTGATTGGACCGGTAAAAAATTTACCGGAGAAAACCGAAGAATACACCACAATCCCAGACGTAGTACTGAAGGAAAATGAAAATTGAGCGGAAGTACGTAGGAGGGCGGGGTTACACCCCTACTCTTTCGAAAGACATCCTGGGATTTTTTTGTGACCACAGAGAGTCAGGACCTCGGTTTAACGTCTCATCCGAAGGACAGTGCTCTTTGACAGTATGGTGTCCCCATCACTACACTGGGGTGTTAGGACACACAGAATTTCTCTAACACCTCTTCCAACAGCAACCTGGTTTTCCCAGGAGTCTCCCATCCAGGTACTGACCAGGCTCAACCCTGCTTAGCGTCAGTGGGAACCAGTCTTGGGCTACAGGGTGATATGGCTGCTGGCCAAAGTAATTGAAATAGCTCAACACAACAAATGTTTCACGTGGTTTCCCCAAACTCAGCTGAAAATGCAACTTTTAATGATTTCTGCAGTCTCAAAATGATTCAACCCCTTCATGGCAGCATCTTTAGTACTTAGTAGAACAACCTTTTGCTGTTATGAGCTGCTGCAAACGAGATGTATAAGCAGACAGCAGCTTCTGGCAGCATTTCTGAGAAATCTTTAGCCCGTTCCTCATGAGCAATGGCCTCCAGTTCAGTAATATTCCTGGGTTTGCGCCGCCTTCAAATCCCACCAGAGATTTTCTATGGGGTTCAAGTCAGGTGACTGTGAGGCCACTGTAGACTCTTCCAGGACGTCTGCAACCAAGCCTTGGTGGAAACTGAGGTAGGCTTGGGATCATTGTCCTGTTGAAGGTCCATTGACGCACAAGCTTGAGCTTCCTCACTGACGGCATGATGGTTTCTCCTAGGATTTCCTGATACTTCATTGAATCCATCTAGCCTTCCACACACTCCAGGTTTCCAGTGCCAGAGGATGTAAATCAGCCGCAGAGCATCACCGAGCCTCACAATGCTGAACTACAGACAGCGTTCTTCACAGCATATGCTTCATTCTTCTTCCTCCAGTCATACCGCTGATCCACAGAGGCCAAAAAGCTCCCGTTTTGTTTCATCGCTCCACAGAACAGAATCCCAAAACTTCTGTGGCTTATTTATATGATTTGGAGCACTTTTCTTGTGCGTTTGGATCAGTAGTGGTGTAGTCTCGGAGTTCTGGCATGCGTTTAGTACGAAACCTCAGTGCCTGTTGCCACCCAGTCTTGCTGCAGGTCTTTTGCAGTCACTCGAGATTTTTTCTGATCCTGCCTTCTCAGAAATCTGGTTGCAGCCGTTGATAGCTTCCCTTTTTCTGCCCCGTCCAGGTAGTGTAACCACTGTTTCTTTAACATTGAACTTGCAAACCATGCTTCCAATGGTGTCTCTAGGAACATTTAGTGCCTTCGCTATCTTTTTGTATCCTGTTCCTTGTTTGTGAAGGGCAATGATATCTTCTCTTAACTTTTTAGACCATTCTTTTGACTTTTGACCACATTTCTAACATGCAGAGATTTGTAACACACAACAAACCTATCCAGTTCAGATATTTCATGTGTTCAAGCTCAAGCACACCTGGTGCAACTAATGAAGCCCTTGATTAGTGAGAAAACACCTGTTTTGCAGATGTGTGCTGTTGTGAAGGATTCTATTCAGGGGGTTAAATAATTTTGAGACTGCAGAAGACATTAAAAGTTGCATTTTCAGCTGAATTTGGGGAAACCACTTGAAACTCTTGTTATGTTGAGCTACAGGTGAAACTCGAAAAATGAGAATATCGTGCAAAAGTTCATTTCTTTAAGTAATTCAACTTAAAAGGTGAAACTAATATATTATATAGACTCATTACATGCAAAGTGAGATATTTCAAGCCTTTATTTGTTATAATTGTGATGATTATGGCGTACAGATATGAAAACCTTTTCACAATATTCTAATTTTGACTTTAGGGTTTTCATAAGCTGTAAGCCATAATCATCACAATTATAACAAATAAAGGCTTGAAATATCTCACTTTGCATGTAATGAGTCTACATAATATATTAGTTTCACCTTTTAAGTTGAATTACTGAAATAAATGATCTTTTGCACGATATTCTCATTTTTCGAGTTTCACCTGCATTTCAATTACTTTTGTTTGATTTATTCATGGCAAACAGCTGAATGTCAGTCAATTTTGCCAATAAACCTGATTTGCATTGGGAGTTGAATAATTTTGCTGTAACGGCAGTTCTTTGGTCTTTCCTGTAAACACTCTTACCACTTTCCTCTCCGCCTGTCCCGTTTCTCTGCTAATTCTCCATCTTTTCTCAGTGTGTTTCTAAGTGTGTGATTTGTTTATTTTCACAGAAACTCTCAATTTCCCTCCTGACCCGCACGGATCGCTCGCTAATTATCTCATTTACACATAATTACTTGGATGGGCTACAACAAAATAAACAGAGCAGGTCATTCCACATTATCCAGATCCAAAATAAATCCTTTAAACAAATGTCTGTAATTTGCATCACAACATGCAGCACAGAATTATAAACACTGCAACAGGAGATCCGGCACAGAGTTTTGTATAATTTGGGGAAATGTTCGGCAAAGCACAAACTCAGAATTAATTCCAGCTGCGGCCGAATGAACATTAACGGAAACACGTATATCATCATCTATAACTCATACTGACTCCATTCAAAACACAAGATCTGGCTTAAATCCCAGCTAATTCATGACTTCAGTATGGGTTTTTATTTTGCAAAACATTATAAAACGTCCTGGATTTTGTTTGGTCAAATAAGGCACTTCCTAAAGCCTCCTAAAGACAGTCATTACTTTTGCGATCCATTCTCGTGTCGTGAGTATGAGAATGTTAAAAACAAAATGTTAAACTTCAGTAGCAAAAGTGACGTTACAGTTGGCAAGTTCAAATCATGTACTATATACATACCATACATATAAGATTGTCAAATGCAGTCAGTCTCGCTGTGAAAAGCCTCCAGAACTTTACTAAATACTTTACTGAATAAAGCAACCGCAATTATCATAATTAACCCCTCCTAGTTAGTCCTAATTAAATCATTAGAAGTCGGTGTGAGAGCAGGTAGCATACAGTGAAGGCGGGGTAACAGTGTGGGTCGTCATGACAATGAGAATGATTGACAGTTAGGCTGACCAATGTTGTTATTGTTAACTAAATATGTATATTAAAAATGGTTCTCGTTAGCTTAAATAAAGCCCGTTAGGCTCTTTGTCTGAGCTAAATGATTCTTCTTTGTTTTGTTTTTTTAAATTAAATTAAATGAAATCATATTTTTGTTTCAATCCCAAATGCCAGAGGAGGTTTGAGTTTAGGACAGATGGGAATAGTTATTAGAGTAGAACTGAATTATGATGTTTTAAAGGCTGAAATTGCAGAAAGACACTTTAAAATATAACCAGACATGAGAGGAATTCACAGAAAAAAATCATACACAATATGACAGCTGTGATTCGGATTGAAAGAAAAGTGCTCTGATGTCAGAAGATCTTCAACGGTCATGTGATCTCATGAGCAGTTTGAGAGAGCTGTTGCGCCCCCTGGTGTTCACACACACCCTTCACAGGTCATCATGAGATTTTTTTTTGCCTTTATTTTATAGGACAGTGTGCAGTGTTCCTGAACTCCCTGAAACGCCTCAATTGTAGTCTTTAATTTCTTCCGGGAACGAACACGTCACAATATTCCTCATTTAAATAATTCATACGCAGAATAAAAGGGGGTCGCACACAATTTTTTGATATTTAACCTCTAAACCTCAGCATTTGCCGAATTGCGACTTCGCTATTTATACCTCGCTACTCTGACTTTATATCACGCTACTCTGACTTTATATCTCACTATTCTGACTTTATATCTCGCTACTCTGACTTTATATCACGCTACTCTGACTTTATATCTCGCTACTCTGACTTTATATCACGCTACTCTGACTTTATATCTCGCTACTCTGACTTTATATCTCGCTACTCTGACTTTATATCTCGCTATTCTGACTTTATATCTCGCTACTCTGACTTTATATCTCGCTACTCTGACTTTATATCTCGCTACTCTGACTTTATATCTCGCTACTCTGACTTTATATCTCGCTATTCTGACTTTATATCTCGCTACTCTGACTTTATATCTCGCTACTCTGACTTTATATCTCGCTATTCTGACTTTATATGACGCTACTCTGACTTTATATCTCGCTACTCTGACTTTATATCTCGCTATTCTGACTTTATATCTCGCTATTCTGACTTTATATCTCGCTACTCTGACTTTATATCACGCTACTCTGACTTTATATCACGCTACTCTGACTTTATATCTCGCTATTCTGACTTTATATCTCGCTACTCTGACTTTATATCTCGCTACTCTGACTTTATATCTCGCTACTCTGACTTTATATCTCGCTACTCTGACTTTATATCTCGCTATTCTGACTTTATATCTCGCTACTCTGACTTTATATCTCGCTACTCTGACTTTATATCTCGCTATTCTGACTTTATATGACGCTACTCTGACTTTATATCTCGCTACTCTGACTTTATATCTCGCTATTCTGACTTTATATCTCGCTACTCTGACTTTATATCTCGCTACTCTGACTTTATATCTCGCTATTCTGACTTTATATCTCGCTACTCTTGCTTTATATCTCGCTATTCTGACTTTATATCTCGCTATTCTGACTTTATATCTCGCTACTCTGACTTTATATCTCGCTATTCTGACTTTATATCTCACTACTCTGACTTTATATCACGCTACTCTGACTTTATATCTCGCTACTCTGACTTTATATCTCGCTATTCTGACTTTATATCTCGCTATTCTGACTTTATATCTCGCTACTCTGACTTTATATCACGCTATTCTGACTTTATATCTCACTACTCTGACTTTATATCTCGCTACTCTGACTTTATATCTCACTACTCTGACTTTATATCACGCTATTCTGACTTTATATCTCGCTACTCTGACTTTATATCTCGCTACTCTGACTTTATATCTCGCTATTCTGACTTTATATGACGCTACTCTGACTTTATATCTCGCTACTCTGACTTTATATCTCGCTATTCTGACTTTATATCTCGCTACTCTGACTTTATATCTCGCTATTCTGACTTTATATCTCGCTATTCTGACTTTATATCTCGCTACTCTGACTTTATATGACGCTACTCTGACTTTATATCTCGCTACTCTGACTTTATATGACGCTACTCTGACTTTATATGACGCTACTCTGACTTTATATCTCGCTACTCTGACTTTATATCTCGCTATTCTGACTTTATATCTCGCTACTCTGACTTTATATCTCGCTATTCTGACTTTATATCTCGCTACTCTGACTTTATATCTCGCTATTCTGACTTTATATCTCACTACTCTGACTTTATATCTCGCTATTCTGACTTTATATCTCGCTACTCTGACTTTATATCTCGCTATTCTGACTTTATATCTCACTACTCTGACTTTATATCTCGCTATTCTGACTTTATATCTCGCTATTCTGACTTTATATCTCGCTACTCTTGCTTTATATCTCGCTATTCTGACTTTATATCTCGCTATTCTGACTTTATATCTCGCTACTCTGACTTTATATCTCGCTATTCTGACTTTATATCTCGCTATTCTGACTTTATATCTCGCTATTCTGACTTTAAATCTCGCTATTCTGACTTTATATCTCACTACTCTGACTTTATGTCACGCTACTCTGACTTTATATCTCGCTATTCTGACTTTATATCTCGCTATTCTGACTATATCTCGCTATTCTGACTTTATATCTCGCTACTCTGACTTTATGTCTCGCTATTCTGACTTTATATCTCGCTATTCTGACTATATCTCGCTACTCTGACTTTATATCTCGCTACTCTGACTTTATATCACGCTACTCTGACTTTATATCTCGCTATTCTGACTTTAAATCTCGCTATTCTGACTTTATATCTCGCTACTCTGACTTTATATCTCGCTATTCTGACTTTATATCTCGCTATTCTGACTTTATATCTCGCTACTCTGACTTTATATCACGCTACTCTGACTTTATATCTCGCTATTCTGACTTTATATCTCGCTATTCTGACTTTATATCTCGCTACTCTGACTTTATATCTCGCTATTCTGACTTTATATCTCGCTATTCTGACTTTATATCTCGCTACTCTGACTTTATATCTCGCTACTCTGACTTTATATCTCGCTATTCTGACTTTATATCTCGCTACTCTGACTTTATATCACGCTACTCTGACTTTATATCTCGCTATTCTGACTTTATAACACGCAATTGCGACTTTTTATCACTCAATTCTGACATTTTATCACGGAATTGCTTTTTTTCTTTTACCAAGGTTGTAGAGTTCAAAACGAGTCATTAGTCTAATTAATGAGGTCATCATCGGTCACTCACTGCTGTTGCCGGGCGGCTGTAGCCCGTGTTTAGTGGCAGAGCACCAGCCCACGGGGAAGATGTCCCTGGAGTCGTATCGGCACCAGTAATCGAACGCCCCCCTCCAGCCGTCGAACATCACGAAGATCTCCTCGCCCTTCACCTCGCCGATGGTGGCGGGACAGATCAGGTACGGGTTCTTCTTGTCCACCGCCTCCAGTTTCATCCCGGGCTTGAAGCCGTTCTGGGGCGGCCGCAGGGGCTCCTGATGGAATTACAGAAGACCAGTGTCATCAAAACCTTTTAATGTGATTGCATGATGTAACACCAACATCCGTGTGAATGAGGTCCGGCACCTTTTTAAACGCTGTGGCAGGGGCCATTTCGGCTCCGTTTAGGGTCCTCAGGAGAAACATGGGCCATGACGAGGCGTTCATCCTGAAGCCTGAGGAAATAAGAGAGAGAAACGGAATTATTATCATATGTAATCACATTCATGTAATTAAAATAACCACACCTAAAACTAAAAATATGAAAAAACCTTAACGTTAATTGAAATACATTAACAGAATTAAAATATAATATAAAAAAACTTTTTGTTTCAGTTAGCTAATTTGTGGTTAAAGTTGAAGTAATACAATTAAATATAATATAAAATAAGAAAATTGAATAGAATATTTTACAAAACTTTTTTTTTGAGTTAGCTGTGAAGGCAAAATTTCTCATTTTCATTTATAACTTAAAGTTGTAGCTTTTGAGCAATCAAAAATACATGGATTGCAGTGTGAGAACAACAACAGTTGTGTTTTTTATTAAACTTATATGCATGTCAAATATGCATACGTGATGTGTGAATTATTTCAGTAGATCAGTGATGTGTGAGCTTGTATCTACACAGTAATTAAATGACTACAACAAAATACTAAAAAAACATTTAAATAAATTGAAATAAAAGCGTTAACAGAAATAAAAAAAGATATACGAAAAAGGCATTTTTTTCTCATTTTTGCTTAAAGTAATAAAATTACTAAAAATAAAATAAAAAGTTATAAAAACTACATAGACATAATTAAAAAAAACGAACTAAAACTTTAACTTAAATGAAAATGTAAAATATAATACAAACTAGTTTAAAATATGAATAAATAATAAGATATAGTAATGATACTCAAACGACACTGGAGAGTTATTAAGCTTTGGTAATGACATGAGACTGACTGTCCCTCCAAAAACAGCTTTATGGAAATGACACGTAGTCAAATCAGCAGTTATATTTGCCCACTTGTTAGTCTCATATTAAATATTAACTCTACTGTGATCCGCCGTGGAAGGGAAGTGACATCAGCCGTACCCAGTGGCGGTTGCAGCATGTCTCCGTTCTTCTCGCAGGTTCCGATTGGCTGGATGTCGGCGGAGTCGACCAATCGCCAGAAGTCGTTGGTGTTGTCGCTGCCGTCCAGACGTAGGCGGAGCCTCACGCCCATCAGGCCCATCACCGTGGCGATGCAGGTGGAGGTGGAGTTACGAGGGTCCCGGGCCTCCAGCTTCATCCCCGCCTTGAAGTCGTTTGAGGGAGGAAACTGAGACTGGGAGCACAATCTCAACGTTAACATCAGAAAGAGGGGTTTGGATTTTAATTAACCTGACATTTATTAAGTCATTGACGGCATTTTTGAAACACAAAATATTTAAAAATTCTATTAAAAAAGGTGTGCATATGTGTTTTTTAGTTGAGCATTATGTTGGAAACATATAAACAACAGTGTCTGGATAATCAACACACTCAACATTAATATCCAAAGAGAATTAACCCTTTAAAGCCTGACGTTTATGAAGAAATTGACCGAAAAAATCGTATTTTTGAAACTTTTAAAAAATTCGGTCCCACTTTATATTAAGTGGCTTTAAGTACTATGCACTTACATTGAAATTAATAATTTGATACAGTGGACTTATTGTGTACATACATGTTTTTTTACATTGAACTAATATTTTGAAAATACCTGCATGATATTACAGCTGTAATTAATTTAAATAATTACACTGTTGACCTTTCCTTACACCTTAAACCTCACCTGTCCCTAACCTTACCCGTATCACACCTCAACAGCAGCGCAAGTGTTTTACAATACAACATCAACACAATAAATACATTGTATGTATGTAAGTAGATAGTACTTCAAGCCACTTAATATAAAGTGGGACCAAATATTCAATAAAAAAGGTGTGCATATGTGTTTTTTAGTTGAGCATCATGTTGGAAACATATAAACAACAGTGTCTGGATAATCAACACTCAACATTAACATCCAAAGAGAATTAACCCTTTAAAGCCTGACATTTATGAAGTCATTGACCAAAAAAAAAAATCGCATTTTTGAAACAGCCTTTACACAAAATATGAAAAAAATTCTATAAAAAGTTTGCATATGTGTTTTTAGTTGAGCATCATGTTGGAAACTTCAGGCTTTTATGGCTCATTTAGTATGATATAATTATAATATGAAGGAAAAATCAGCTTAGTTTTATTCAGACGCCCAAAATGAGGAAAAATATGCAATTTGCTGCAGATGCTGATATTAATATGCACATGAAATGTGATGAAATTCTGATGCCTGTAATGTAAATCAATGAGATATTTATAACAGTATAACAGACTACTACTGACATAAAATGCATATAAATATCAATATCTACCTTATTAAGATGATATTTAAATGCTTAGTTTTATGATCAAAGCTCTGTAGTGATGATTGAGAGATGAACAAATAAACCTTCCTTAAAAGCCGTATGATCATATTTGATATATTTCATGAAAAAAAAAAAAAAAGTATGGATAATCAAGTAAACCGAAGTTGCTTCAGTCCAGTAAGTTCATCTTGAAATATTACTTACAAAATAAAGTTATTCTTACATTTACTTTAAAAATAGATTTCGCAGCATAAAGAGATGAGCTGAAGGTGCATATTTGTACAATTATACTAAAAGGCTTTTACTTGGTAAAAAAAAAAGTGTAAAATATCAATCAGACGACAGAAGGACTGTAGGAGACAGAGATGCATGATATATATCGGCCAGCATATGGTCATTTTAATGTTATCGGTATCGGCCCAATAAGAAAATTAGGCTGATATATATTAAAGCAGATAAATAATGTATTATTTCCTTCAACTGAGACACTTCAGATGCGCACTGTTCAACATGATGGTTTTAAATTGCTTGAAATATGATTGGAATCACTTCAGAAAGGAAAATACACCACAAGTCTGTCATATCGGCTACATAAAATTATAATGAGAACATCATAATTGTGTGTTTGAGACACGGATTTTAATGGTGAGACTTTTGTTTTTGTAATCAGGCTCTCAAAAATGATATAAAATTTGGATTTAGATTTATCAGCCGATATATCGGTTATCGGCTTTCAGATATAAAAAATTATCGGTTATCGGTATCGGCCAAAATGTTCATATTTTTGAATGCATCACTAATTAGGGTGCATTCTAAGAGATAACTAAGAGATCATGTGCAATTCAATGACGTTTAGCAGTCCTATTTGTGTATCAAATATGATACAGTAGGCTTTATAGGGTTAATGTGATTTCCATGTACAGAACGAACAGAAACGTGTCTTTAAAAGGGCCAGTGATGTCACTCTGACCTGTCTGAAGCAGCTGGGGGGGGCGGGAACTGATGACGTCTCCTTTAAATACTCCTCCCACGAGAAGGACTCGGTCACTGCAGCAGAGAAACACACACACACCATCATCATCATCATCATCATCATCATCATCATCACCATCACCTATTAGAGAGCCTAAGTCCCCCACCCCCCGCTCCGCTTCCGGCTCATGGGACCTTATTTCGGAAAAATATTGTATGGTAGTCAATGGCGAGAGACAACAATTATTTTGATCTCGTTTGAATTGTGCCCTGAATTACACATATGATGTTTGTCAATTTAAAAGATACATTTTAAAGTAAAAAAAGTCGCAGTTTGATGTAAAACTGTTGAGGTATAAGACTGTGAAAATACGTAATTACAAAGACTACAAACCCAAAAGGGGCACATTTTCTCTCAATGAATGAAGCTAACTTTACTGAAGCTAACTTTACTGAAGCTAACTTTACTGATGCTAACTTTACTGATGCTAACTTTACTGATGCTAACTTTACTGAAGCTAACTTTACTGAAGCTAACTTTACTGATGCTAACTTTACTGATGCTAACTTTACTGAAGCTAACTTTACTGATGCTAACTTTACTGATGCTAACTTTACTGAAGCTAACTTTACTGATGCTAACTTTACTGAAGCTAACTTTACTGAAGCTAACTTTACTGAAGCTAACTTTACTGATGCTAACTTTACTGAAGCTAACTTTACTGAAGCTAACTTTACTGAAGCTAACTTTACTGATGCTAACTTTACTGAAGCTAACTTTACTGAAGCTAACTTTACTGACGCTAACTTTACTGATGCTAACTTTACTGAAGCTAACTTTACTGAAGCTAACTTTACTGATGCTAACGTTACTGAAGCTAACTTTACTGATGCTAACGTTACTGAAGCTAACTTTACGGATGCTAACTTTACTGATGCTAACGTTACTGAAGCTAACTTTACTGAAGCTAACTTTACTGAAGCTAACTTTACTGATGCTAACTTTACTGAAGCTAACTTTACTGAAGCTAACGTTACTGAAGCTAACTTTACGGATGCTAACTTTACTGAAGCTAACTTTACTGATGCTAACTTTACTGAAGTTAACTTTACTGATGCTAACTTTACTGAAGCTACTTAACTGAAGCTAACTTTACTGATGCTAACTTTACTGATGCTAACTTAACCGAAGCTAACTTTACTGATGCTAACTTAACTTTACTGAAGCTAACTTTACTGAAGCTAACTTTACTGATGCTAACGTTACTGAAGCTAACTTTACTGATGCTAACTTTACTGAAGCTAACTTTACTGATGCTAACTTTACTGAAGCTACTTTAATGAAGTTAACTTTACTGATGCTAACTTTACTGAAGCTACTTAACTGAAGCTAACTTTACTGAAGTTAACTTTACTGAAGCTAACTTTACTGAAGTTAACTTTACTGATGCTAACTTTACTGATGCTAACTTTTCTGAAGCTAACTTTACTGAAGCTAACTTTACTGAAGCTAACTTTACTGAAGCTAACTTTTCTGAAGCTAACTTTACTGAAGCTAACTTTACTGAAGCTAACTTTACTGAAGCTAACGTCAGTCATTGTTTCTATAGTCTTGCGTTATAATCGTAACGTTACGCCGTCATCGAGTGTTTTGTACCAGACTGCACACACACGAGCAGCGGATCTCGCTCGTTGTTTCGCTTCCCGGGAGATGCAGTTCATTGAGCGATTTTCACATAAAACTAAATGTTACTCTTCTGTTTTATGACAAACTGCGACTTTCTTGACTTTCATAATTATCTTTTAAATTGGCAAACATCATACGTGTAATTCAGGGCACAGTTCAGACGGAATAAAAAGATAAGTTGTCTCTCGTCATTGACTACCACACATATTTTTCCCGAAATAAGGTCCCATGAGCCGAAAGCGGAGGGGGGGGGGGGGGGGGGCTTAGGCTCATTTAGGCCACGCCCACACACCCTCTCCATTGACTTTGCATTGCGTGAAGCTTCCTGAAAAGTCAAAGTCTGACTCATTTCTGACTTTTAACAAAAAACTAAACGACGTCTAAAAGCTGCTGAGTGACAGGGTGTGCAGCAAACAAGCTAAACAACCCAGAACTAGGTATTTATAAGCTGTCGACCCCAAAAAACAAGCGTTTCAGGACATAAAAGTGGACACAGGCTGGAACGAATGGGTAAATTGAGGGATCCTGACACTCAGCACTCAGTGTGCAGTAAACATTTTGTCACTGGTAAGTCGAATATCCAAATGTCAGTTTTACACATTATATTTCTGTAAGATAGCTATCCTGTCGCCGATTACGCTCTCCAGTGGGTGTAAGTTAGTTCTCAGAGTAATATGACACATTGCGTATCCACTTTTATGTCCTTAAATGCTTGTTTTTTGGGGTCGACAGCTTATAAATACCTAGTTCTGGGTTGTTTAGCTTGTTTGCTGCACACCCTGTCACACAGCAGCTTTTAGATATTGTTTTGTTTTTTGTTAAAAGTCAGAAATGACAAGGAGGAAGCTTTACGCAATACAAAGTCAATTGAGACGGTTGGATTGATTTCAGATTATGACGCGTGTCGCTCTGTCTCTATGCTGATCTCAGGTCAGACTCAGAGTGTGTGTCGTTACCTTTGACTGGTCCAGGACCTGTGAGAGACATGCTCCTGCCCGCTTTATCCTTCTTACTGTCCTTGTGATCTGCAGAGGAACGACACCAATCTCATGTAGAACATTTCTGATTATAATCTTCTTGAAAATTAAGTATTGTCTCATTTGTTAAGTTAGCAATAAGGTACGAGAGGCTGTGCTTTTATAAAAACGGTTCCCACACAATACAAATATTAAAGCCAAAAAACATGCATCAATTCAAACTTTCATGAAGTAAAATCACTAAAAGTCTTCCTTCCGCTGGAAAAAATAGTCCCACCCTGACCGTGAACAGCAACAGAAGTTACAAACATTATTTCGCCAATAGACGGAGACAAAGCCTGTCTTTATGAGTGAGTGAGTCAGTAGAGAAGACTTTTGTGTGTCGGGCACGGAAAACCCCTTAACTGATAAAAGAACAAGATATCGCAGCGGACATTCAAACTGATATTTTATTACGAATATTGGACTGAGCTGAAGAAAAATGCTATATCTACTGTAAAAGCAGGTCCACTTACTTACTCGATCTCTCACAATACTCTATATAAGCTTCAACGAACAATATCAATGAGAACAAACATATGTTTACGTTGCTAAGAGTGGTTGCTAGGGGTGTTGTTGTGTAGTGATACATAGAACCGTTGGGTGAAGCGGTCATAGCCGTGTTTTATCGTGAATAAAACACAGCTATTGACCAATCAGAATCAAGGACTGGAAGTTACCGTTTTATAACATTAGTTATACTACGTGGCTGTTGAATGCTTGAATCTGATTGGCTGATGAAAGTTTTAAGGTGTACAATTATTTTTAGGGATACGCACGGCTAAAGTAGTTCCAGGTCTTGACCGCATTACAGTTCCATATCCCTTCGCCACATGATTGCAGTTATTTCAAAGGTCCTTACAGCCGACAACAGCAAAATAACCAAAACCCACAACGACACTGACCAAGCAAATAAATATGTGTGTGTGTTTTACCTTTCAGTAGCGTTCGGCCCATGTTGACCATTAACTCTGGTGAGGTTCCTGAAGAGATCCGAGCACTCGACCTGAGAGAGACACACACACACACACGCAGATTTGTCAAATGGACATCTTTGTGCTACTTGTGGCGTGTTTTTAAAATGATGTGTGAAGTTAAAAGTAGTTCAAAATCATGTGAGATGCATTTCAAACAGTAGTTGAATTCACAAAAAGAGTTTAAAGCTTGAATTTCTCCAATATTAATAATTATTTTTTATTATATTGCAATCTATAAATGGGCCATGAAGTATGAATAGTACTTTGCCTTTTTTTTTAAATCATTAATACTACCAAATTACCACACATTTGATAAATATATGCTTATCAAGGCTGCATTTATTCAATCAAAAATACAGTAAAATTGTGAAATATTATTCCAATGTAAATCAGCTGTTTTCTATGTGATTATATAGTAAAGTGTAATTTATTCCTGTGATCAAAGCTGAATTTTCAGCATCATTACTCCAGTCTTCAGTGTCACATGATCCTTCAGAAATCACTCTAAAATGATGATTTGATGCTCAAGAAACATTTATGACTATTATCAATGTTGAAATATGCTGCTTCATATTTAGGTAGAAACCATTATAAACAACCATTCAAACATTTGGGGGTAAGATTAAAAAATATGTAAAAAATCAATACTTTTCTTGAGCAAGGTTGCATTGAACTGATCAAAAGTGCCAATACAGATATTTATAATATTACAAAAGATCCTATTTCAAATATAAATGTTATAAATGCTGTTCTGTTTCCATATTAGACTGATTTCTGAAGGATAATGTGACACTAAAGACTGACACTTTGATCAAAGGAATTTTTTTTTTTTTTTTTTTTTTAGTCATAACATAAGAAATTATGACTGCATTCAAAATCAAGAGAGAACCAACCAAATTTTAATAACTGATTATGCTGTAGTCAATGCTTTTTCCTATGAGCTTTTTGTTTTTGTATTAGTAAAATAACCTGTAGCAGTAATTTTGTTGCAAACAATTTCGTCAGATAAATACCTCACATTTTGATGGTTTAATCAAACTTTTACCGGTAGGTTCATTAAAAACAAAAATTCACTTCGGACGTCACTTTTGGCCACAACTGTAGCTTTATCTTTAGTAGCTTTAGTAAAAATGCATAATTAACCAAACGCCAATGCTCCTCTTTTTAACAGGTAAAAGATTAAGATCTTGCAGATTCTCAGTTTCATGTGTGTGAGCGTCACGCTTCTCTCAAATGAGACATGAAACACACACACACACACACACACACACACACACTCTGCTGAATGCCGTCTTGTTCAAGAGCGAAACTTCCCACTGCACACAAACACACTCTTCCTGTCTAAAGCAAAGAAATGAATCTCCCAAACTGAGCAAAGACCAGCGGATCGTTCCTGACATGAATATGACGACAATCAAGTGTCTTATTAGATTAGAAATTGAATCCACATGCCGGCAGACAATTATAGACAGAACAAATGAGTTCCTTATTTATGTCAAGCAATTAAGAGTTCATTCCGCTTTGGTCTCATGTGAGCTTCTCGTTCTACCGTCATAACCGCTCTCTTTCACTCCGACTCTTCACTGATGCCGTGAGAGGCTTAACTCCTGAGTCTCAGGCCACAGAATAATCACTGTTTCTGTTCAGTCGCAGTCGGTCTCTCTAAACTAAAACTAAAACCATTAAAAAAACTCTCAAATCTTCAAACAAAATAAACACTAACTGAAATAAAATGTAATATTTACAAAAAAAATTAAACTTATTTTATTAGAGCTAGCTGCCCAAGGCAGCATTTCTAATTTTCGTTTAGTTGAAGTACTAAAATAAATAAAATAAAAGTGAAAAAAACTGACTACAAAATGTACTATAAATTTAACTTATTCACATGAAAACTACATATAAAAATAGCTGTATGAAATATAAAAAATTAAAATAATAATAAAAAATAGAATAATAGTATGATATTAAAATAACCTTTTCATTACTTCAAATAAATAATATAAAAAGTAAAATAACTAAAACTAAATAAAAACTATATAGATAGACATTAAAAAACGAATAAAAGTGACAAAAACACTACAAGATGACTAAAAATTTTACTTAAATTCATATGAAAACTAAATATAAAAATTAAATTAAAAATATTCATAAAAAATATAATAATAGTATATTAATGATACTAAAATAACCTTTTCATTACTTCAAATAAAAAAAGATATATATTTAAAAATAACTAAAACTAAATAAACTAAAACTTAAACTAAAAAAACTGACATTAAAAGACTAATAAAAGTGACAAAAACAACAAGATGACTAAACTTTTTACTTAAATTCACATGAAAACAGTTCATATGAAAATAACATAAAAATAAAAATATAGTAACACTATAAATTACATTTTCATTACTTCAAATAAAACAAACATTAACTGAAATAGAAAAATTTAAACTTATTTTATTTCAGGCCACATTTCTCATTTTCGTTTAGTTTAACTTGAAGTACTAAAATAACTAAAACTAAATAAACTAAAACTCAAATTAACTTAAACGTAAATAAAAACTATAGACATGAAAAAAAGACTAATAATGACAAAAACACAACAAAATTACTAAAACTTAAAAAAAAAGGAAAAAAATTCAATCTAATTCAAAATATTAACAAAAACTATAATAATAGTTTATCAATGATCCTAAAATAACACCGTCTAGGACAGACGAAAGGAAGGAGTCTGCAGTGTTTTGTTTGAGTCCCTCAGTCAGGGTTTATAAAACCAGATGAAGTTTAAACGCTTTCTCAAAATCACAGTTTTCATCAGGGAAAAAGTCATTTTACAAGCTATTTTAAAGACTTCTGGAGAAGAACTAGTCACTGGACTTGACAAAGTTTGTGAGATTCATGAGTTTAGTTTGAGACACTGAAGATGACGCTCTCAGGATAGTATTTGATTTAGGATTTACCCTCAAACGAAAACTACACTGAAAAAAAAAACAAGTACAATTGACTTTCTTTTGCAAGTTTTTGTACTTGTATTTTAAGTAAATTTCACATCTACTTAACTAAGTCATGTAAAAAAATTAACAAAGAGATTAAGTACATTGAGAGTTTGTTGAGTAATTTCTACTTTGTAAGACAACAATCATAGTTTTTGAGTATGAATGGGTCATTTTGAGTAGAAAATACACTCCAGATGTCACAAAAGCAACAATTAAACAGTGTAAAAACAACTAGAAAATAGTGAAAATGCAACCTTATTAATTATTCATGCCCCAGTGCATGATGGGAACACCAGTATCAGAAAGTTGAGTAGGTTTTACTTAATTTTATAGCTTACTTAACAAACAATTCCAAGTAAAATATACAAAGCTTTAATTTCTACAGGATTGAATTGAGTACTAATATAGAAGTTTCTTCTTTTTTTAATTCTTGCCTTCAATGTGGGAAAAAAAATCACATTTGTTACATTTTTATTATCCTTCCATCCGGATTATCCTTCATCCGAACACAATGGATTTATTGGAACGATTTACATAAAAAAAATATGCAAATATTTAATTCACTGCACAAATATATGTAAAATGGCAATATCCAAAAGTTAGGAAAAATTTAATTAAATGTCACAATTACAATCCAAAATAATTTTGCACACAAATTACAAAGAACCTCGTTCTGCTTTTGTTAAATGTAAATTGTAATAAACTATAATAAAGAATAAAATATTTGTTGATAAACAGATCAATAGGCAAAATGACTCAAATGTTAGTCGGACACTGACATATTTCAGTTGTTTTGCATCAGGATGATGAACTTACTGTCATATTAATGATAGTTTGTGAAAAACAAAAAATATAGAGCTGCAGAACTTTTGTTGATTTATCTGATTTATCTTGATTAACTGGACAGAAATCAGATAAAAGCTCCTAAACCTAACATAAGGAGTCATTATATCCCTGCAACGTTTTTAATAAGTATTCTGTTGATCATTTGTTTAAATATTTTGATAAAAAGCACCTAAAAGTTAAACTAACAACAATCATCTGTAAATACTTCAAACAAAAACTGCATAATTATATTGACAAATTGTTTAGTATATTGGTTTGGTTATCTGAAAATTTAATTCACCACATCAGTTTGAGTAAAACTGTCCAATATTTAAAATTTAATTCAACGTAAAATTACTGTAAAAATAGTTTTATGAACGAAGTACAAAGAAACCACTGTGTGTGCAAAATCTCTAAATATGTTTTTTACTTTATTTTTATCTTAGCACACACTCAATACATTAATTAGAGTTAACATCAAATATTTTAAATCAGTTGATCAATTGTTTTAATCAATTGATTTTTTTGCAATTTTATAAATCATTTATTAAATATTGAAAATAAAGCAAATTACATAAATATATTATTATATTGAATTACATTAAATATAAAAAATTACTAATAGTAAAAAAAATTGGCTTTTGGCTAATGCAGGTGTCAGTTGTGTTGTGGGTGGGGCTTATTGTGTTGTGGGCGGGGCTTATTGGCTGATGCAGGTGTCATGTGTGTGGTGGGCGGGGCTTACGGTGTTGTGGGCGGGGCTTATTGGCTGATGCAGGTGACGTTTGTATGGTGGGCGGGGCTTATTGTGTTGTGGGTGGGGCTTATTGGCTGATGCAGGTGTCATTTGTGTGGTGGGCGGGGCTTATTGGCTAATGCAGGTGTAATTTCTGTGGTAGGCAGGGCTTATTGGCTGATGCAGGTGTCTGTTGTGTTGTGGGCGGAGCTTATTGTGGGCGGGCTTATTGGCTAATGCAGGTGTCATTTGTGTTGTGGGCGGGGCTTATTGGCTAATGCAGGTGTCTGTTGTGTTGTGGGCGGGGCTTATTGTGGGCGGGCTTATTGGCTAATGCAGGTGTCATTTGTGTTGTGGGCGGGGCTTATTGGCTAATGCAGGTGTCATTGGGCGTGGTGGGTGGGGTTTATCTGAGTTTCTCTAGCTTTTCATAATTCACAAAAAACAAACACGCTCTCAGCACTCCTTTCATTTCCATGTTTGATTTCAAGCAGTTTGCATCATACAGCATGTGTTCCTGCCTCAGTAAGAAAAAATAGCGCTCTCTCTCTCTCTCTCTGTTCTCCATCAGAAGCGCTCTCTATCTTTGAATATGAGACTAAATGAGTGTTATATTCAACACAAACAACGTCCACCTGGACAGAATATTCATACAGCTGACACAGACAAAATACTAAAGAGAAATTTACATCACAAACAAACATCTGCACAAGCCCATTATCTCACATAAATAACAAACATTTTACAGTGATGTTACTAAATTAAACTTTTAATCTACGAACCAATATTTAATCTATTAACCACTAAAAACTCACAGCTACAGGTTATTTTTACTGTGATAAAAACATGGTAACTCCGCATTTGCCGTCACTGTCATGAACAAAATAACAAGATGCAGATTCTGAAAGTTTCTTACGCTGTTTGAAGGAAATCCAATGTTCATGTATTATTAATGTATCTTTTTTTTTTTTTTTACCAAAATACAGTTATACAACAGTGAAACCATAATAAATGATTATGTGATCTCTCATGGTACATTTTTGACACAAAAACATAATTATGCTACATTTTGAAAAACAAAAACACTACGGTGATAATAGAGAAGAACTTTAACCAGGATTAATACTTTTATCATTTGTAAAAAATAGATTTAAATATTATTATATGTCAAAAATATAAGTAATAACATTATATTTATTATAATTACAAACAAATTAATTAATAAAAGGATAACATATAACATTTTATTATTGCATATAGTGCTATACTAAATATATTTTATTGTATCTAGTAACAAATAATAACAAATATCAGCCGATATATCCTTATCGACCCGATAAGAAAATTAGGCTGATATATTAAAGCAGATAAATAATAGATTATTTCCTTCAGCTGAGAAAATTCAGATGACTATTATCGGCCAATATATTGATTAATAGCTTTCAAATATAAATAAATATCGGTTATCGAATCGGCTAAGATTTTCCCTATCGGAGCATCCCTGCTATGAACAGTAATTAATTAGTAATAAATACACTCATTGTCAAATACTTTTTCACTTTGTTTCACATGAACATCTATCATAAACAGTTATTAAGTATGAAAACATTTAGTATCAGAACCACATATATTTAAACCAATGAACAGAATTAATGTTAAAAAAGTATTATTTCCAATTTTACCCTTACTGAGCCAGTGCCATAATACTAAGATAATCTGATGTATAACCTAGTATTACTAGTGATTACCATATTAGTTTTTCAAGGTATTTATATGAAACTTCTAGATACCATAGTAAAAGCATGTTAATTCTGTGGTTCTTTTTAGTACATCATATCAGCGTAAACTTTGTAAATGTTATCTGTTGTTTGAACTGTAAAAGTAAGGAGATATATCCATTACTGACACGAAAATGAGATAAAAAATGTATCTGAGATTGAATGATCGCTATCTGAGAGTGTTTACGCCTGAGATTGACATCTGAAATAAAGGAAACGTCATCGGCGATGACGACACACCACTGATCATACACATCATCAACATCATAATGATCAATAGCAACGAAACACAAAACAAACACGTTATTTTATCAGTCCCGCTCGGATCCACAAATACTTCTGATATAACAACATGAATAATCGCCACCAGCACAGAAAGAGTTGAACATCAGGCAAAACAAACGCCTAAATCTTCACATATAGACTTTAAAAAGGCTCATATTTGTCATGTAACATAACGATCAAGCGCATAACGTATGGAAGAAAATAAAATAAGTGTAGAAATGTCGACCAACCTTCGCAAATTTGTCGAAATGTAGTCAGAATTCAGCACTTTTCACAGCTCTCTGTCGCCATGTTTGAGGTCAGAACTGCGCATGCGCAGAACCAGACCAGCGATGCGCGCTCGCTTTCTCATACGCACACGTTTATTCTACTGGACATTATGAAAGCCTTTCTTTGAGTTTTTACTATTAATCTAATGTTAAGCCTTGTTTAAATTACACTTATTATAATTATTTAATAATAATAATACATTATTTCATTACTTAGCCAATCATTACAGTTAGCCTTTCTGCCGTGTTTAGACTATTTAATCAAATGTTCTTTGTTTTAATGAAGAATCTGTTTCAAAGAAAAAACATTTAAATATGTAATCTTGGTGATCAAAGGTGAGTTTTAAGGGATACAATTATTGACTCAAATTTATTTTAATTATTTTGAGAATTAATCGCATAATACTTGTAGCTACAGTCCAAGTTTATAGGCCTACTATTGATCTTTTTTTTTGTAAAATTTTATTTTTCTCCAACAACTTCTATGCACATAGAATGTTGCGTAAAACAAATTATAAGTAAACATAAGTAAGAGTCGTGGCTTTGGAGACGCTCATGCTTTCAAAGCTAGCTTGCTATTGCTTTAGCCTCTCTGAAATTACATACCCTACATTTAAGTCTGCTCAAAACTCTGTGTAAAGACGTAAATGACGCACTTCTGACCCACTTCAGCCCCTAGCATCACAGTATACAGTTGGAAATGCTGTGTTAATGCATGTAACAGTCTGTGTAAAACACCGGAATCAACTCATCTAGGCTAATCCATTCTGAACGTTTCCAGTCTTTATTTATTTTCCAAAACCAGAAGCTAAAACAGACTGGATTTAAAATAGCATCATAGTCAAAGGCCAGAAATGAAAGTAGATTAAAACTCTTAAAATCTAACATTTACTAAAAATAGTTATTATAGACTATTTTAATTCCAGTATCAGTCTCGGTGTACACATCTGTGAATGACAGAACATGCTTCTTTTTTTTTTTTTTATCAAATGTTTCAAATTATTTTATCAATCTTTCCTTCATTCATCGCTTGTCATCTTTGAAAATAATCACTGTCCTTCATATATCCACTATATATCCACTAGGTGGTGTGAGTGATCTGATCTGAAGGCGCAAATAAATGAACAGGTCAAATTTATAGCATTCCATAATCATACAAACCAGTGCTTTCAATGTATGTGTCATGCATATATATATATATATATATATATATATATATATATATATATATATATATATATATATATATATATATATATATATATATATATATATATATATCTTGAGCATCAAATCATCATATTAGAGTGATTTCTGAAGGA